GTATCAATGCATTAATCACTGATCTGAAATATACTGGGCCAGTGTCAATCCACATATTGAAGCTTATTACCTGGCCTGAAATGAGTCGGCTCTGGCCATTTGCTTTCATCATGATGAGCTCCGAAGAGGTTGGTGATGACGTTGGTTTCCTTTGGAATAAAGTAACCTGCCACACTTCACAGAAAAACACAAATGACACGGATTTTAACAAAGATGGCCCATTGTGGAAACACAGCCTATGTGTTCACAAAATCCTCACAGTTCCAACTATGTTTGGAGCCCATTGGCTTAATGGAATGGGGCAGGAATTTCCCACAATTTTCTTCTCCATTTTTTGGTCCTGAAATCTTTGATGTGAGGTCACATGACTGGGTGGGGGTCAGGCTTGTGGAAGGGTATGGGAGGGGTGAGGTAGTTTATTTGATGGAGATGTGGTTAGATCAGCATTTAATGCCCTTGAGAAAGTGATGGTGAGCTGCCTTCTTGATCTGTTACAAATATGTGCTGTAGGTTGATCTGCAATTCCATTAGGGAGGGATTCCCAGGCTATTGACCAAGCGACAGTAAAAGAACAGCGATGTATTTCCAAGTCAGGATGGTGAGTGGCTCAGAGGGGAACTTGAAGGTGGTGATGTTCCCATTTGTCTGCTGCCCTTGTCCTTCTAGATGGAAATGGTTGTAGGTTGGAAGGTGCTGTCTAAGAATCTTCGTTAAATTTCTGCAGTGTGTCTTGTAGCTACTGAGCATCGGGGGTGGAGGGAGTGAATGCTTGTGGATGTGATGCCATTCAAGTAGGCTGCTTTGTCCTGGATGGTGTCAAGCTTCTTGAGTGTTGGTAGGGTCTGCATTCATCCAGGCAAGTGGGGAGTATTCCACCACATTCCTGACGTGCCTTTTAGATGGTGCTCAGGCTTTGGAGAGCTAGGAACTGTCTAGTTTATGTTTCTGTTACCATCATGATATGGTTCAGGCCCGATTGACAAATTGTCCAGTGTGTCAGATCTGAGCTCTGATATCTCAACAACACCAGGGTTTGATACTGACTCCATATCCAATCATTCAGATTGCTCCAGGTCTGGCATATTGTCCATCTCCAGTCCTGCCTTAGCTCATCTAGAGCTGGAAACTTTGTTCACTCTGTTCTTACCCCAACCCATGCAATCTGCATCTTTTCTCATCAATATTGAGGCTGCAACTTCTTTCAAAGCCTAGTCAGTCCCTCAGTCCCAATGGGAAAACGGAGCCCAGTTCATCCTTAAGATTACACGCGGAGTGGGGAGGTTGGAGCGGGGGGAGTTCTGGTTGTGTTACCTGGTGTCGCAGGTTGTACGGTGCATTATGGAGATGGGCACCACAGGTCTTAGCCTCAGGACCTCAGTAATGGTGGCCGACAGGACCGGCAGCTTCTTCCTGTCAGCGTAGGCTGGGTAACAATCTTCTCCAACCATTTCACAAATCTCCTGCTTAATCCTGTCCTGAATCTGGAACAGACAAGGGTCGGGGGACACAGGGTGGTTTGCGTCGACATGCTAACTGTGAGTGACAGGTGCGGACCTGGCTATGGGGGTGGGGTTCTGTCATCATGGAAACATGCAAGTGGCACATGCAAGAGCTGGTTGGGGATCAGCAGTGGTGTCACATGCTGGACATAGCTTCTGGACCAACACCGCCTCTGCCCCTCCAACCCAACCCCCCATGTTGCTGTCTGCCCTGTGACTCCCCTCCCTTGCCCCACACAGCAGAATGACAGTTGTAGAAGCCATTTCCTGCCTCCAGGAGATAAGGAGGGTTCTGTGGAGGTCCAGTCTCAGTCTCCATGTCTTTGTCGACTTGGACCTTACTGTATCTCAGTTGCACATACATTCCTGAACTGAGCTGAGGGTTTCTGTCTATTCCAGCCTTTCATACAGGGCCGTACTCCCCTCTAGGTGAAAGCATTACCAAACAACCCATTTCAGATTTCTTCACCAATTACAAACAGATGAACAAGGGACAACAATGGTCCAAACCAGCCTTTCAATAAGATTGTGCCTGACCTGATTTTAACCTCGACTTGACATTCTTGAATATTCCCAATAATCTCCGATCCCCTTGGTCACCAAGAAGCTATCTCCTTCTGCCTTAGAAATATTTAAAGGTTCTGCATCCACTGCCTCTTGAGGAAGGGAATTCCAAAGACTTTCAACATTCTGAAAGAATTTTTTTCCCTTGAATCTGTTTTAAATGGGTCACCCTTTATATTTAAATAATGACCCGTAATTCTAGATTCTCCCGAAAGAGGAAGCATTCATCTGGTTATGTTTCCTCAGGATCTTTATATATTTAAATTAAGTCATTCCTAACTCTTTTAAAATCCAGAGGGTACAGGTCTGGTCTGTCTAACATTTCCTCATAAGGGAATCTATTCATTCCAGGTTGTGGTCAAGTAAACCTTGTCTGAACTGTTTCCAATAGAATCCTTTGGGAATATGGTGACCAGTACTGTACACAGGAAGGTACTGATATGGTTCCAACATCGCCCTCTATTACTGAAGCATAAGCTCCCTGCTGTCACATTTAATTCCACAATAAACCATAACGTTCGATTAGTTTTCCTGATTACTTGCTGCACCTACAGACTAACCTTCTGTGATTCATGCATTGGGACACCCAGATCTCCCTGTAACTCAGAGCTCTGCATCCTCTCACCAATTAGACAATATGTTTCATTTTATTCTTTCTGCCCAAATGGACAATTTCACACTTTCCCACGTTGTACTCCCTTTCCTCGGTCTTTATTCCCTCACCTGAACATTTATATCCTTATATCCTCTTCCCAACTCTCTTTCCTACTTATTACTTCAAATCAACATCCATGACTGTTGATCTCCGCTGCAGTGTTACAGGTGACTAAGGGAGGTCACATTGCTGTGGTAACATTACATCCACATCGTCGAATGGAACAACTGACAGTGATGACTGTGGTTCCAATATTCTTTCTATCGGGTAGCTAGCCGTCTCTTCCTGGCTGCCATCAGTGTGTGCTGATTGCTTGGCCATCAAGTCCTGGAAAGGGACTTAGACAGAGAGCTCCTGGCTCAGAATGAAGAAAGACCCTCTGCACCACAGGGCCTTCATTAATAGAACCAGATCTGTCTTACCCGTTTAATTCAGTAACTTCATATGTCTCAACCAAATCTGCTGATTCTTTTTGGTTCTGTACAAAACGCCCCACCTATTCACTACCTCACCTGAGCTAAGACACTCCAGCCTGGATAACATCCTTATAAATCTCCTGTGCACCCATTCCAGTGCAGTCATAACTCACAGCACTCTAGCAAGGCCTAACAGCATTTTAACTTGTCTTAGCCGCCACAATGTGGTAATAATTACCCTTTCAGATGAACACTGGGTGTTGTGAAATGCCAAAAAGGCTGAGGGTAGCGGAGATTGCCAGGACCTGGCGAAAGAGAGGAATCATTCATTCTTTCTCTGCGAGCTAGGGAGAACGTTATCAGTCAGGTTGGACCAGGAGCTTCATGTTGCCTCAGTGGAAAGGATCAGAGGGACTGTTCGGTTTGAACGGGAGCCCCGTGGTTACTCGGTTGTCACTCACCTCTGGCCGGTGAACGAGGAAGGCGATGGCCCAGCCCAGTGTCGAGGATGTTGTTTCTGTCCCACCCACAAACAGGTCCACGATTACCATGTGAATGTGTTCCTCTGTGAGCTCCTCCAACTCTGCTGCATCTTCCTCCTGGTCCCAGAAATGCTTCATCAGTGCATCAGTGATATCCCGGACCTTGCCCTTCTGAAACGTCACCTATAACACAAAACTTTCAAAGTTATATCAGCTCAGTCTGCACCCTGGTCTCAGCCCATCTGTTCCACTCTCTTCAGTGTCTGAATTATCAGATCAAGAGTACGCAGCAGGTCAGTATCGCTGTGAAACAGACTGGGAGGAGTGTGCAGCAGGTCAGTATCACTGTGAAACAGACTGGGGAGAGTGTGGAGCAGGTCAGTATCACTGTGAAACAGACTGGGAGGAGTGTGCAGCAGGTCAGTATCACTGTGAAACAGACTGGGAGGAGTGTGCAGCAGGTCAGTATCACTGTGAAACAGACTGGGAGGAGTGTGGAGCAGGTCAGTATCACTGTGAAACAGACTGGGGGGGAGTGTGCAGCAGGTCAGTATCACTGTGAAACAGACTGGGAGGAGCTTACAGCAGGCCAGTATCACTGTGAAACAGACCGGGGGGGAGTGTACAGCGGGTCAGTATCACTGTGAAACAGACTGGGAGGAGTGTGTAGCACGTCAGTATTACCGTGAAACAGACTGGGAGAAGTGTGCAGTAGATCAGTATCATTGTGATACAGACGGGGAGGTGTGTGCAGCAGGTCAGTGTCACTGTGAAACAGACTCGGAGGAGTATGCAGCAGGTCAGTATCACTGTGATACAGACTGGGACGAGTGTGCGGCAGGTCAGTGCCACTGTGAAACAGACTGGGAGAAGTGTGGCAGGTCAGTATCACTGTGAAACAGACTTGTGGGGAGTGTGCGTCAGGTCAGTATCACTTTGAAACAAACTGGGGGGAGTGTGCAGCAGATCAGTATCACTGTGAAACAGACTGGGGGGAGTGTGCGGCAGGTCAGTATCATTGTGAAACAGACTGGGGGGAGTGTGCAGCAAGTCAGTATCACTGTGAAACAGTCTGGGAGGAGGGTGTGTCAGGTCAGTATCACTGTGAAACAGACTGGGGGGAGTGTGCGTCAGATCAGTATCACTGTGAAACACACTGAGGGGAGTGTGCGTCAGGTCAGTATCACTGTGAAACAGATTGGAAGGAGTGTGCGGCAGGTCAGTATCACTGTGAAACAGACTGGGAGGAGTGTGCGGCAGGTCAGTGTCACTGAAACAGACTGGGGGGGGTGTGGAGCAGGTCAGTATCATTGTGAAACAGACTGGGGGTGTGTGGAGCAGGTCAGTAGCACTGTGAAACAGACTGGGAGGAGTGTGCGTCAGGTCAGTATCATTGTGAAACAGACTGGGGGAGTGTGTAGCAGGTCAGTATCACTGAAACAGGCTGGGAGGAGTATGCGTCAGGTCAGTATCATTGTGAAACAGACTGGAGGGAGTGTGCGTCAGGTCAGTATCACTGTGAAACAGACTGGGGGAAGTGTGTGTCAGGTCAGTATCACTGTGAAACAGATTGGGGGGAGTGTGTGGCAGGTCAGCATCACTGAAACAGACTGGGGGAGTGTGCAGCAGGTCAGTATCACTGTGAAACAGACTGGGACGAGTGTGTGGCTGGTCAGTATCACTGAAACAGACTGGGAGGAGTGTGTGGCAGGTCAGTGTCACTGTGAAACAGACTGGGAGGAGTGTGCGCCAGGTCAGTATCACTGTGAATGAGATAGGGAGAGCAGAACTGCATGGAGAAGGCAACAGTGTGAGAGATGAAAACCAACAAAATAGAGCCCTTTCAACCTGTTTTTATCTATCTGAAGTGAAGTGTGCTGTGAGGACCCCACCACCCTGCATCCTGCACAGTTTGGGCTTCAAGAGATTCTTGCTAAGCCCTTCAAGGCCAAAGTGAAACATTTCTCCTGGACAGATATGGAAACATACTCACGTACTTTATGGCTGTCAATCTGCTGTGTCACAAAGGAGTCTCGTTTCTTCACTTCCTTCAGGAATGCCTTCCAAGTGGAGTTGGGAAAATGCTAATGGGAACAAACAGGTAAAACTCTAGCATCCCACTACATAAATAACCAGTGTTCTTCACTGGATGCCAGTGATGTGTAGGGGCAGTGGAACAACTCAGTTATTTCCGGCTGGAAGGGAACCTCATTTATTGTTGAACACCAGAAGAGAGCCACTACTCATGGCTTGCATCGGCTCGTCCCATCCCATGGTTGACAGTTCTGCAGAGCCATCCCTGGGTCTGCTGTATAACAGGCTCAGGTGATGAGTTCCAGTTGGCAGGCCATTGCATCTTACCGAGGCACCTCATACTCTGTGAGCTCCATGAGGGGATTAATTAGTGATTCCCCAAGGATTTTGAAGGGGTTTTGACAAACATCTTGCCCAGCAACATGGCACTAATCCCTGAAAGCCAACTCTACTGTGGACGATGGAGCCCAGATTCCTCTTCAGAACCCTGGCTCGTGACTGACTGCACGGGGGTGGAAGATGTGGACAGGCACTGAGAGGCTTTGCGGGGAACAGACTGAGGTGAAGCCAACGTGGCACGGGAAGATGCATCAACCTCCCGACAATACCTTACCCCAAATCTTTAAAACACTACATGCCCTACAAGAGGCAGATGATATGATGGACCCATCCCCAACACTAACGCAATAAACTGAGTGGGTGCAAATCACCATCAATCCTGACAGCCTGCCTGCGAGGGAGAAAAGGAACAAATTTTGACTGAGTTGGAAATATATCCCTGCAGTGTCACTGGGACAAAATCCTGGATATCCTCACTGATGGCATATGGGTATTCCCACACCAATTTGACTGCATCAGTTCGAGAACGCAGCTCACTGCCATGTTTTCCAGAGCAGTTATGCATGGGCAATAAATAATGGTCCAGCCAGTGACACCCACATAAATTCAACTAATTTTAAATAGGCAGTCAATTTTTAATCAATGCCAAACATTCTCTCCACCAATTTCTAGCTGCAGAAAGAAACATCATTTGGGGTATTCAGAGCTCGGAAGCTATTACCAGGCACGTTACAGACCTTGGGATAGGCCAAACTGTGAACACAGAGCAGCCAGGGAGAGTGGCAGTGACTGAGGTGGGATCTCTAACGATCATACCTGTAGGATGGGAAACATATCAAGGAGAGTGATTGATGGGGAGTTCCAGAGTCTGACCAGCTCCACCAGACAGTCGTGTATAACACGAAGCTCAGGATCGTTCCTCTCGTACTGAAATCAGACAAACAATGAAAAATATACTGTACACAGTGACAGATTACAACAGAGCTCACCAGCACTGGTTCTGTATGTGATCACAGTGACCAGTTCAATGAGATCGTAGCTAACCTAATAATCCTCAACTCCAATGTCTTGCCTTTCCGTATAATTCAAGGATATTCACTCAATGATTAAAAATTTATCTCTCTGTCTTGAATACACTTAACAAACCAATCTCTACGACCCTCTGCAGGAAAGAATTCCACAGATTCATTACTGTCTAAGTAAAGAATCTCTCTTTATCTCTGTCTTAAAAGGGCAAACAAATTAAACCTGAAATTTAATCTGAACTTCAGCCCTTGGATCTCTCCCACAAGGGGAAACAACCTTTCCCCATCTACCCTATCAAGTCCTCTGGGAATCCTGTATGTTTTAATCATCTCACCTCTCATTCTTCTAAACTCCAATGGGTACAGGCCCAAACTATTTAACCTCTGCTCATAAGACAGTCCCTTCCTAACTGGTGTCAGTCTAGTGAACCTTCTCTGCACTGCCTCCAATGCCAGAATATCTTTCCTTAGATACGGGGCCCACAGTATTCCAGCTATGGTCTGACTAATGCCTGGAATAGTTTTAGCAGAAGCTCCATCCTTCATACTCCATTTCCCTTAAAACAAAGGCTATCATTCCACATGCCTTCCCTATTACATGGTGAGCTTGTATTCAGAGTGTTTGTTCAGTAGCTTTCTCCATTTAAATAATATTCAGCTCCTCTATTCTTCCTGCCAAAGTGCATTAGTCACAATTTCCCACATTATATCTGCTAAATGCAACGTGGCAACTGATGCATGAAGCTCAATGAAGTGTTCGTATTTGACATTTTGGGGTTATTAATTTAACAAGTAATGCAGGAAAACTGATTTCTGGTAATTATTATACAATGGTCACCTTGGTGCATTAAGCCCTGATCGTATATTGTCTGTTTGTGTCACTGGTGAACAGCTTTATTTGCAAGCAACATAAGAAGAAGTTAAATAGTGCAGTAGATAATTATGTGTAAAAGGTCTTTTTTCAAATATGGCTTTGAACCTTTTGTGATCTTTTCTTTTCTATTATCCAGTTCAGATGGATCCCTCAATTCAAATCTTTGCAACTGCCCATGTCAATGAATCAACCTTTACATGCCAAATCTTTTTAAACGTATTCTCGCAACATTTAAGAAGCATCTGGATGAGCACTTAAAAAGTCAGGGCGTGACAGGCTATGGACCAAGTGCAGGTTAATGGGATTAGTGTGGTTTGGTATTTATTAGTCAGCACAGACACGGTGGGCCAAAAGGCCTGTTTCTATTCCGTATGACACTATGACATGGTCTTGTGGGTGATTGCAGTGATCCACCCTGACCCGGTGTGTGATCACAGTGGTCTATCCTGACCCAGTGTATGGTCTGAATGATCCACCCTGACCCAGTGTGTGGTCTCAGTGATCCACCGTGACCCAGTGTGTGATCGCAGTGGTCTATCCTAGGCTGGCATGTGATTTCAGTAATCCACACGGACTCCTTGGGTGATCAGAGTGATCCATCCTGATTTTGTGGGGGATTGCAGTGATCCACCTTGATCCCATGGGTGCTTGCAGTAATCCACCCTGACCCAGTGTGGGTTCATAGTGATCCACCCTGACCCCATGGGTGATTGCAGTGATCCACACTGATCCTGTGGGTGATTACAGTGATCCACACTGATCCTGTGGGTGATTGCAGTGATCCACACTGACCCAGAGGGTGATCGCAGTGATCCATACTGACCCAGTGGGTGATTGCAGTGTTCCACACTGATCCAGTGGGTGATCGCAGTGATCCACCCTTACCCTGTGTGTAAATCGAAAGTGTTTTTCTCCCAACTGTTTCTGCACAAGAAGATAAAATTCCTTCGGTGAAATGCAGCAGAAGCAGAGGGTGTGCGCCAGTGTTTCCTTCACGAAAGGTTGTAAATCAGGTAAAGCCTGAAACTCAGGAATCATTCCATTCTCCCATCATCACCTCAGCTTCCACTTCAGGACCTTACAGCCTTCAAATTCGAGCTGAACAATTTCAGAGCCTGATCAGCCCCTTCCATGTCTATGACCCAGCCCCAAACCTGGGTCCCTTTCACACGGCCAATCCATTTTCATTCACTGATTTCAACTCCCTTCAAAGAGATTTCACTTCTTCTCCTCCCTGGCTTACCATCAACAATCCCTTTGTTTGCCTACCCTTCTCTCTCTCTCTCTCTCTCTCTCTCACTCTGGGCTCTATCTCCATGTGTCCACTCTCCCTCCCACCGCCATCAACATAAATACCATTTTTTTTCCCGGTTGCTTCTAACTCTGAGGATGAGTCAGCCCAGACTCGAACTGTGAACTCTGTTTTTTTCTCTCTCTCTCTCTCCACGGGATGCTCCCAGACCCATGGAGTTCCTCCAGCATTTCTAAGTTTGTGTTTGCCTTGGCACTCAGCTGCTGACATCCCAGTCTCTGATCCGGCAGCAGATGAGGAGCAGAGGCCGAAGGAAGGTTGGAGAAGGGGGTTACCGTGGTAACCAGCAGCACGGATCCTGAGTCTGGCCCTCCCTGTCTCTCTCTCAACTCCAGGGATAGACCAACCGAGTGGGTAGAACTGGAACGTGCTGAGGGATGCTTATTGAACGTGCCATGCAATGAAATGGTGAAATATTTACCTCTGTGCCAAAGATCAGGGAGGAGATGACATTACAGGTGGAAATGGAGAAATCCCTTGAGATGTCCACTGGTGACCCCACATAGCTCTGGAAAACCTGGGCAATGATAAAGATTATTGAGAGAGTACGCTCCCCCAATCAGCCCTCAGTGAAATGTACACGAGGCTACGTCGTGTGAAATCAGTAATTTCCACTGTACATTATACGAATGATATAGTCTGTGGTAATATACAGATTGATAACTGAGCTGTGGGAGATAAACTACAGAGTTGATATTTTCAACCTTATCATGTGTGTCTGCTCTTTTGCAAATAACAGATTCCATTTATTCAGTGGATGTTTGGTTTTGAGGAATCGCTTCCTCAGTAATCTGCTGTCCCTTGCAGGCAGTGGGATCAGCCTGCATGCGTATGTATACAACATCCAGCTCTAACCCTCCATCATCTGTCTGACCTGGTCACTCTGCTATAGGAAGGATATTTATTATTTTATATGGATTGACAAGGTTGTGACTGGGAATGAAGGGTTTGAGTTCTATAAGGAGAAGCTGGATAAGTTGGGACTTCTGTCACTGGAGTCTCAGAAGCTGAATGGTGACCTTATAGAGACTTTTAAAATCATAAGATGAATAGAAAAGGTCTTTTTCCCAGGGCAAGGGAGTTCAAAACTAGAGGTCATAGGTTTAAGATGAGAGGGGAAAGATTTAAAGGGACCTGAGGGGCAAATTTTTCACGCAGAGGGTAGTTTGTACGTGGAATGAACTGCCAGAGACAGGTACATGAAAAGGAAAGGTTTAGAGATATATCAGCAGGTGGGACGAGATGGCTCCTAATTTGATGAAGAGACATCTAGACTTGAAACATCAACTTGCTCTCTCTCCATGGATGCTGTCTGACCAACTGTGATCTCCAGCATTTCTTCTTTCCAGTACAGATTCCAGCATCTGCAGCAATTTGTTCCTGTTTAGTTTAGTTTAGAAAGATGGTCAGTATGGACTAGTTGGACCGAAGGGCCTGTTTCCAAGCTGTATTACCCTATGACTCAGTGCTGTTCCCGTACCCACCTTCCCCCCCCACCATTCCGTCCCCTCTCCATCTACCCATCCCGTCCTGTCCCCCCCCAACACCGCCCGAACATTCCCGGTTGTACCTCGCACAGTTTCCGAGCTTCCCGTTCCACCACCGGCTCGAGGTCGGAGGCCCGGCTCTGGTGGATGGCGCTGTAAGCCAGTTTCTTCTGGAGCTTCCACACTCTGGTGTAACCTCCCAGGGACAGGTCTTTCCCACCGAATGAGATGGCCTTTCCTGAACAAGACGGTGGTGCCTTCAGGCAATCAGTTCAGGGGAGCTGGGCCCAACACCCCAACCCTAAAACCCAACTCCCCCCCACAACACCCCCCACCCCACACACACACACATCCCCACCCTAAAGCCCAACTCCCCCCATAACACCCCCCACCCCAAACACACACACACACACTCCCACCATGAAACCCAACTCTCCACTCCTGCAACATCCCACCCGACACACACACACACACACACCCACACACAAACACATAAACACATACACTCACTTCCCCACACACACCCACACACACAAATGCGCGCACAGACACACCTCCACAAACACATAAACACACGCACCCACACACACACACGCACACACATACGTGCATACACACACACACACACACACACACACAGACGCACACCCCACTCCCCCTCGGGCACTCCACATATGCGCGTGCGCACACACACACACACATACACACACACATACACATACACACACACACACACACAGTCACACACACACACCTCCCCACACACACATTCACAAACGTGCACACACATACACACCTCCTCACACACACAAACCTCCACAAGCACATACACACACACACACACGCACACACATACGCGCACACACACACACACACACAGACGTGCGCGCACACACACACACATACGCGCACACACACACACACAGACGCATGCACACACACACACACCTCCCCCCTCCACACACACACACCTCCCCACGCACACACACACACACAGATGCAAACACACACCTCCCCACACACGCACACCTCCACCCCCACACACACACACAAACACACACACAGACACACACACACACACACCTCCACACACACACACACACACACACACACACACCTCCACAAAGACATACACACACGCACCCACACACAGACACGCACACACATACGTGCACACACACACACACAGACGCACACCCCACTCCCTCTCGGGCACTCCACATTCCCCTCAGGCACTCTCCATCCCCCACCACCCTGTCCCAACTTCCCCAGCACTCCACATACCCCATCCGCACCACCCCCTGCTCCCCCACACCACATACCTTCCTGCTCCCCAGGGCACGCTCCATAACAGCTCTCCCCCCACCCCCTCCACACCCCTCCTCAACACGCTGAGCCACTGTAGCCCATGCCGTTAAAGCTGCTGTCTGCTCTGCCGTTCCACAATGCCAATGCGACAGTACCAGGGGCTAGCAGGTCCCAGAAGGGCCAGTCCCTAACCGGGACTGCACCTGTGAGGAGACTCTGACAGTTTCAAGCTGATCCTGCCCACAGCTCCCCACCCCACACCCCCCTCCGGCTGTGTTCAGGGGTTTCTAATCCTGCCTCACCAGGGGTGGGCAGGGAGATCATGGGAGGTGAGGAAGCAACGTCCTATCCATGGCACTGGAAAAGGAGCCATTCTTCCTGTGGAGCAGGCAGCGGGAATACTCACTCAGAGAGCTGGCACAAATATGAAAGGCCGAACGACCTCCCCCTGAACTGTGACAGCTCGGTGATCACACAGCATTGCTGCCCATCTGACAACAGTTTCATCAGAGCCTAGTTTAAACTGGACGCTGGGTGGAGTGGGATCCCCAGCAGCAAAACAGAAGGTCAGTGCTGGGGCGGAAGCTAAAGAGAGCAAGGTAAATCGACAAAGCACAGAATGAAATGAGGGAAGACTAAGGAATTAAACAGCATTTACTTCAATGCCAGAGGCATGAAAGGTAAGGCTGGTGAACTCAGGGCGTGGGTGGGAATGTGGGACTGGGATATCATAGTGACTACAGAGATGTGGCTCAGGACTGGCAGCTACAGATGCTACAGGAAGGATAGAAGAGGAGGGGGAGCGGCATTTTTGATTAGGGAATAGATCACGGCTGTACTTAGAGATAGGGAATCGTCCTGTGAAGCTATTTGGGTGGAACAGAGAAATAAGAAAAGGATGATCACTTTGTGGGATTGTACTACAGACCCCTCAATAATCAGCAGGAAATCGAGAAACAAATTTGTCGAGAGATCGCAGATAGCTGTTAAGAATAATTGGGTTGTAATAGTAGGGGATTTTACCTTCCCGAACAGAGACTGGGACTGCCATAGTGTTAAGGGTTTGGATGGAGAGGAATTTAAGTGTGTTCAAGAAAATTTTCTCAAACAGTATGTAGATGGCCCTGCTAGAGTAAGGGACAAAACTCAATCACCTCTTGGGCAGGGCAATTGACCGCGGTGTCAGTAGAGGAGAACTTTGAGACCAGTGACCACAATTCGGTTATTTTTAAAATAGTTTTGGAAAAGGATAGGCCTGGCATACAAGTTAAATTTCTAAATTGGGGCAAGATCTTTCAAGGAACTTTCAAAAGTTGATAGGGGGAGGCTGTTCGCAGGTAAAGCGATGGTTGGCAAGTAGGAGGCTTTGAAACGTGAAGTAGTGAGAGTTTGGAGCCAGCATGTTGCTGTTTGTGTGAAGGGAAAAGCTGTGAGGAGTAGGGAACACTGGATGACTAGAGATATTGAGTCTCTGGTCAAGAAAAAGATAGCAGCATATGTCAGGTATGGACAGTTGGGATTGAGTGGGTCCCTTGAAGAGTACGTGGTATAGGATTATACTTCAGAGGGAAGTCAGCAGGGCAAAAAGGGGACATGAGATGCCTTTGGCAGACACGTTTAAGGAGAATCCAAAGAAATTCTCCAAGTATATTAAGGGCAAAAGAGTAACTAGGGAGAGAATAGAGCCCCCTTAAAGATCAGTGAGGCCATCTATGTGTTGAACTACAAGGGACAGGTGAAATCCTAAATAAATATTTTGCATCAGTATTTACGATGGAGAAAGACACTGAAGTGAGGTAACTTGGGGGAAATAAATAGTTACATCTTGAAAGGAGTTCACATTTCAGAAGAGGAGGTGCTGGAGGTCTTAAAATGCATATGTAGATAAATCTTCAGGACCTGATTAGGTGTATCCCAGGACATTGTGGGAAGCTAGGGAGGAAACTGCAGGGCCCCTAGAAAGATATATGTATTATTGACAGCCACGAATAAGGTGCCAGAAGACTGGAGGGTGGCTAAAGTTGTGCTTTTTTTCTAAGAAAGGTGGCAAGGAAAAGCCTGGGAACTATAGACTGGTGAGCCTGACATCAGTGGTGGGTAAGTTATTGGGGGGATTCTGAGGGACAGGATTTACATGCATCTGGAAAGGCAAGGACTGATTATGGATAGTAAACAGGGCTTTGTACATGGGGAATTGTGTCTCACTAACTTGATTGGGTTTTTTGAAGAGGTGACCAAGAAGACAGATTAAGACAAAACAGTAGTCATTGTCTACATGGACTTTAGCAAGGCTTTTGACAAGGTTCCACATGGTAAACTGGTTAGTAAGGTCTGATCACACAGGATCAGGGAGAGCTAGCCAATTGGATACAAAATGACAGTAGGAGACGGAGGGTGGTGGTGAAGGGTTGTTGTTCAGACTGGAGGCCTGTGACCAGTGGTGTGCTGTCAGGATCAGTGCTGGGTGCACTGTTGTTTGACACTTATATAAACAACTTGGATGACATTATAGGAAGCATGGTCATTAAGTTTGCAGATAACACCAAAATTGGTGATATGGTGGACAGTGAAGAGAGTTATCTAAGATTACAAGATCTTGATCAACTGGGCCAGTGGGCTGTGGATTGGCAGACAGAGTTTAATGCAGATAAATGCAAGATGTTGCATTTTGGAAAGACAAACCAGGGCAGGACTTACGCAGCTCATGGTAGGGTCCCAGGGATTGTTGTCAGACAGAGAGACCTTGGGGCGCAGGTACATCGTTCCTTGAAAGTGGCATCACAGGTAAACAGAGTGGTAAACAAGGTGCATACAATTCTGGTCACCGTGCTACAGGAAGGATTTTGTTAAACTGGAAAGGATGCAAAAAGGATTTACAAGGGCGTTACTGACACTGGAAGACTTGAGTTAAACGGAGAAACTGGATAGGCTGTGATCTTTTTCCCTCAAGCACTGGAGTCTGAGGGGTGAATTTATAGAGGTTTATAAAATCATAAGGGACCTGGGTAGGGTAAATAGCCAAGGATAGGGGAGTCCAAAACTAGAGGGCATAGGTTTAAGGTGAGAGGGGAAAGAATTTAAAAAAGTCCTGATGGGCAACTTTTTCGCACAGAGGGTGGTGCGTGTATGGAATGAGCTGCCAGAGGAAGTGTTGGTACAATGACATTTCGAAGATATTTGGGCAGGTACATAGACAGAAGGGGTTCAAAGGGACATACGCCAAATGCAGGCAAATGGGACTAGTTTAGTTTGGTAAATTTGGTCAGCATGGACAAGTTGGGCCAAAGGTTCTGTTTCCACGCTGTATGACTCTGAAACAGCAGAGAAGTGGCAGAGAAAGGGAGAAGAGAAATAGCAAAGGAGTAGTGACACAAGGGAAGTTGGAGGGAGAGAGTAACACAGGCCCCAGACTGACCCAGGCCTTACCTGGGTTGGGAGGTATTGGGGGTCTATTTCTGACCTGAGTTAACCTTTCATTCGCCCTTACGAATTCAGTCGCTGTGAGATGTGAGGAACTGAAGCTGTTGTAAAAATACATCCCGACAACATGACCTGAAGCGACCTGCCTTCAGGTCCCGTACCGGTAATGTTCTCAGGCCGTCCAGCAAACTCGCACGATCTCTTCAGCAGCGCTTCCTTTATCAGTTCCGTGTTGTTCAGGACCACGATCTCTGGATACAAGTGAAAATTACTCAAGTGTTTCTAATGCACATTTTTACAGCACATCTTCTGCAAAATAAGAGGCCACTGAACCGGGGAGGAGGGGAGCGGGGCGTCTGTTGAATCTGCTCCCTATATTCCACTTAATTGACATGCCCCTTCCATTCTCAGCTCCATCTTTTTGGTTATGAAGCTTCCCTGAAATGTATCTCCACAGTCCATCGCACCCGGTCCCCGTGCTGACAGGTTCCACATTCTCCTGAAGGAGGGTAATACCCGAAACATTGACTTCTCCTTTCCTCCTGTTGCTGCCCGGCCTGCTGCGCTTTCCCAGCCTCCTGTTTGCCTACCTTGGATTCCAGCATCCACAGTTTTTGTTTTGTCTCCACATTCTCCTCACTCTCTGGGGAAACAGCTTTCTCCTGCGATCCCCGTATGGTTTATTAGTGACTATTCCCCCTACTGCTGCTCTCCAGGCTGGGATCAACCTCCATAAGTGGGGATGTGCTGACTGACAGTACCCGTGTACAAATCTTAAACTCCTCTTGGTCCTCTCTACTCTGCACCAAACACACGCTCCCCCCGCCCAAAACCAGTCTGAGATCTCATCAGCAGTGGGTGATGTCCCTGCCTCTGTTTCTTGTTCAGGACCCACTCCGGGCCTGAATGGCCTATAATACAGTCTTGTCTTTAACACAGTTAAACTGTGGTCTTTACCGACCTGTAAATCCTTCCTATACTCCACTGGGTGTCAGCAGAAAGAACAGAAGAGATTCTCAGTCAGCCAAATGGTAAGCAGTAGAGATTCCGCCATAACAGTGCAGGCCATAACATAGTGTGGACCTTATCACAACATGTCTTAGTGGTGGGGCATTGGTGAGGGCAGTAGGCTGGACAGTGGCTGGGAGCCAGACTGTTGCCAATTCCTGCTGAGCTCCTGCTGTCTTGCCCTCCCTCTGCAGTGAAGATCACAGTCCAGTGCCTCTCATCTGCCCTCTGCCAGGCGCTGAAGAATAAGAAACCCCAGTTTTTCATTGTAACTGCTCCGCCCTGTTGGAATCTCGGAATCAAACAATCCCTACAGTGTGGAAACAGGCCATTCGGCCCATCACCTTTGTACCGATGCTCCGACAGCATCCCATCCAGACCCATCCCCCGATTCTATCCCTGTAACCCTACTTCTCCCATGGCCAATCCACCTAACCTGCACATCTTTGGACTGTGGGAGGAATCCGGAGCACCCGGAGGAAACCCACACAGACACGGGGAGAATGTGCAAACTCCACGCAGAGATGGAATCGAGCCCGGGTCCCCCGGCTTATGCGTGTTCCCAGCCACGGAGCTACTGCACCACTCCTCTTGTCGTCAAGATTCAGCAGCAAGTTTCACTATCACCTCTCTTCACTTCAACTCAATTCCTCAAGTGGGATAGTATTTGAAGGGCCTGAATGAACAATGTTCTTTGAATAGCAACTACCCGGTTTGTGAAATTGGTTACAAGGTGTTTATTGATTCTAAGATGCATCAGGTCTGAGTAGTGCAATTACTTACACTAATAAAAAGTTTTATTACGTTGACTATGAACACATTGCCATTTGTTATCACAGACACATACAGATACAGAAACATGCGGACACACATACAGGCACAGGCATGTATACACACATACAGACAAAAAAGCACATACAAACACAGAAACATACAGACACAGATACACACATGTACAGGCACAGTCACACATATACAGATGCAGATATGCAGAGGTACATGCACGTGGATGCAAATAAGGTGCACAACCACACAGATCCACGCAGATATAAAGATGCACACAGATAAACACATATGTATCAATGCACACACAGATGCACACAAAATGCACACAGAGAAACACACAGATACATGCACAGAAAGGCACACACACAGGTACATATACATGCACACCTAGCCACATTAGACAGGTACACACGCATACATTTAAACACACACACAGGTACATACATGCACACACAGACATACACACATGCACTCATCAACACAGACATATACACATACAAATGTACACAAACAGAGATGGACATATTCACACACATATTCCCATTTGTGTTCACACTCATACTGTCTAATTTATCGTGTCTATAAATCTCCCTCTAACCCTAACGCTATCATAGATTCCCCTTCAGGGACTCTCGCAGATGCCTCTCACTGACTCACCCTCTCTCCATGCCCTCAGTCTGTAGATTGGCCCAAATCTCTTGGCTAGTTCAGTCAGGCGGACGTGGAGATATTGCTGCCTGAGGTCCTTCAGGTTACCCAGGAATGGTAGTGCAGCTGGACCAGGGATCTCCCGTTGACTTTGCTGCTTCTGGAACCTTCCGCATCTCCAGAACTTCAGGAGTATTAAGAGAGAGATTACACTGAGCAGGAATATGGTGATCATGCTTTGATTTTTTTCAGCTCTGTCACAGCTGAGGACTGGTGTGAGATGGAGCTGGTACTGGAGTGATACTCAGTGTCCTTCACACTGAGAAGGTTCAGTTCAGCTCCCACTGCAGGCTGAGGGCCCGTTCAGGGCATATTTATGTCACCGCCCCACATCCCAAACAGCCCTCCCTCATTCCTTTAGCCCAAGCCACATCCCTCAGTGTCTCATTCAGCCGTCTGTTTTACAAGTAACCCAACCCCTTACCAATCCAAGCACTGCTTCAATAATGACCACTGAATCCACCAGTGAGATTCTCACATTCCACATGGTAGCTTTCAATGGTTTCCTTATTCAGTCCTTTATTTGTCTGCACCCTTTATTCATGTGCAGGAAGAGCTGGACAATATCAAGGCTTGGGCCAAGAGTGATAAGTAATATTTGTACCAAATAAGTGCCAGTCAATGATCAGCTCAAATGAGAGAGAATCCAATCATCAGTGTCTGTGTTCAACTCGCCCACTGTCATTATCCTTGAGAGGGCTTTATCAATGGGATTACTCACTGAACTGAATAATCTACATACAAGAGCAGTTTAGGAATTCTGAGGCAGTAATTCACTGACTTCCTGACCGTTCAAATTCTGTCCACCATCCACAAGGCCCATGTCAGCACTGGGATGCAATACTCCCCATTGGCCTGGATGAATGGAGCTCCAGCAACACTCAAGATACTATCGACTACTCTGTTTGATTGGCACATCACTCCTTTAACATTCATTCCCTGAGCCACCAATGCTACGTAACAGCAATGTGTGTACCATCTATAAGATGCACAGTAGGCATTCACCAAGGCCGCATAGACTGCACCTTCTGAACTCACAACCACTACCATCTAGAAGGGCGAGGGCAGAAGATACATGGGAACCCCACAACCTGCAAGTTCCCCTGCAAGCCACTCACTGTCCTGACTAAGGGATGTGATGACCAAGTTGTATTATCACTAGACTAGTAACTCAGAGACCCCCTCCCCAGATAATGTCCCAGAGGACCAGGTTTAAATCTTGCCATGGTTAAATTAGAATTCAATAAAAATATGGAATTAAGGGTCTGGTAGTGACCATGAAACCATTATCACTTGTTGTGAAAAGACCTACCTGGTTCTCTGATATCTTTTAGGGAAGGAAACTGCCATCCTTACCCAATTTGGCCTACATGTGACTGCAGAGCCACAGCAATGTGGTTGTCTCTTAACTGCCTGCTAGGCAATTAGGAATGGACAATAAATACTGGCCTAGCCAGCGATGTCCACATCCCATGAACAAATTTTAAAAATATATGACATGCCACTGTTTCTTCAGTGTCACTGGGTTAAATTCCTGGAACTCCCTCACCAACAGGTTATCGGTCCAGTGCAGTGGTTCATGAAGGCAGCTCACTGCCCTCTTTTCAAGGCTAACTAGGGACGGGCAATAAATGCTGGGTGTGCCAGTGTCACCCAAATCCTGTGAAAGAAGGAAAAGATCCAGGGCAACAGAGAGCAGGATAAATATCAGGCCGCATAAGATGGTTTGGACTGCAAGCGTATCATTGTGCAGGGCTCATGCAAGGGCAGGATTGGCATCTTAATGCTCCTGGTTAGAATACATTCTAGGGATAAGAATAAGTGTGGTGGCTGGGTAACAGTATTGATTAAATGAGCTGTACACTATTGGAAGGGGACAGTGTGGCTGAGGGACCAACGATTAAATCTATTTGACTAGAATTAAAGAACAGACATTTGTAGACAGGACAACTGCTAACAGAAAAAGGTAAATGTATTACTGGTGTCAGAAGAAAGCTAGAGGTAGCCGGGAGTAATGTTGTGGAGAGAAAGGTAACTCAAAACAAGGAAAAATCTCACAAGGTGCTCTATTCAATTGACTTTCTCTTCTAATTTAGAAACTTGGGCAGTCAGAAAAAGTCTGAGCAAGAACATAGAGACTTCAAATTCCAAAAACAGATCCTGTAACAAATGAAGAGGTGCTTGAAATTGCAAGAGGAGAAAATAAAACGAACTCTAGAAAGTGACGCCCAGAAAGGGAACTGGCCATTTTTCTGTCTTTTGATCAGAACCGAAAGCCACTGAGATCTCTCCTGGAGGGCAGCAGAAAGTGAGGTTGGCCTGGGCACTGTGGGATGACTGACGTCCAGCTGCTGTTGCAGATGAGATGCAGAGGGGATGCGTGAGGACAGTGCAAGGCAGAAAAGTGTGTCTTCCTGTGACCCCCAGGGTCTCTCAGCAATGCATGAGAAAGTGGGAGGCACTGCAGCGAATTCATCAGTGTGCTGCACCAAGAGCTGGACGAGGATAGAGGAACAAATCTACAGAGAAACGTCAGAAAGATGCAAAAGCACCCAGAGGAATGATAAAGGGGGGGACTGCACGCCTCCGAAAACAAACCTGAGAGAGAGTAGCAGCAGCCAGGAGGGGGGATTCCTGAAATACGGACAAGAGGATTCTCTCGCTAAGGATGATCCCAGCCCCATGGGGAAGATTGGGATTAAGTTCTTGGGGAATGGAAGGGAGCAGGATGGGCGTCTGACTTTCTGTGATGAGAAAGGTAAGCGTTGAAGGTCATTGCACACGCAGGGACAGACTATCTGTGCAGCATCTTGTGTGACCTCCACTCACACGGTCAGGACAGATTGTTATTTATTACCGGGCGCAGGGAGGCGGGGGAGAATGCAGGGGTCAGACTTAGTGTCAGGCTCATTGGCAGCGGAAACATTCCCGAAAAATAAACACTGCTGCACTGATGTGTCACCGTAAACAACTTTCATCACAAGACCCGCTGAGTCACAACTCACCTTGTGGAGCAGGGAGCAATGGGGAAGAGGGAGCGGGACGACTAATCTTTCCAAACTGCATGAGCAGAGAAAGGAAAACATTCGGGAAAAGCTTTTATGTTAAACCTGTAAACAGCTGGGGTTAGGCCTCAGATTTCAGACAACACAAGGAGCCACATTTTAGTAAGGCTTTGGAGACTGGTTAAGAATGTTCCAGGGATGAGGCTTGATGGTTTGTGCCAGAGATAGGGAACGATGAGGTCTTTCATCCTCCTTCAGAAAAGGAGAGATTTGACACCTGACCATGAAAGGTTTTAATGGAGCAAATAAGAGACGCTTCTGGTGACAGGCAACAGAAACAGATCGAAAGTACAGACTGCAGCGCTATATATATATAAATGGTTAAAGCTCAGTCTCTGTCATGGGAAGCACCACCCAGTTACATTAAAGTTTGTTTCTGAGCTCGGTTTCACAGGGGCGCTGCCTGTTTTAGGCAGAGACGGAAGAGACCGATTAACTTCACTCGCGGTTAACTCAACTGTACATTGCCATTGGGAAAAGTACCTGAGCGTGGTGTCTCCCCAGACGCTGAAGGGCTGATGTGGGCATTGGCGATTCAGATAGGAAAGTAGGGCGAGCTTGGCAGGAATGAGATTCCCGAATCAGGGAGCGAACGTCCGATTCTCCAAAGCAACTGCTGGAAAGTGAGTGGAACACCTCCCTCCTGAGCAACCATTCGCATCGACAAACAAGTCATCACAACCGTATGTCACCTCATTAATAAGCTGTTTCCCATTCTCCCAGCTGTGGGATAGAAAGCAAATGACAGTAATTCCTGACATGACAGTCAGAGTGGGTGCCAGGCAAATCCAGCTCCTCCAGAACTCCCTCTTGGATCACAGTTCTTGGTGTCCAGGGGCAGCAAATGCCCACATTCCCTATTGATCATATACCAGGCTCACCAAGCCACATCTGAATGGCACACCTCTGACCCACTTACGTGCTCCCAGCCTTGCCTTGCCTTTCTTTACACTTTGCTGCCTCAGTCAGAGCTTCCAAGCTCCTTTAACCTTCTCTGGTCTTTTGGAACAGACACAAAGCCAGGCCGATGACCCTGGTTGTCAGCCATCAAGGGGCTGGCCGTTTGCTACATCAGTCTCAAACCGGCCCCATATGCCAGCAGGAAGTGCCCTCATGTGATTCAACCAATTGGCCATGTCCCAAAGTCAATGGGGAGCAGTCACCCTTCAGGCCAAGGGAGGCTGCATTCAGTCAGGGGTAAAGTAAGCCAGGGGCAGTGCCCAATATCAGTCAAAGGGCTTGGGCACAGTCAGTCACTTGGGAGCATCCAGGGTCAGGGTTTCAATATCACTACTGTCTGGGGAGAGGATCAAGGTTGGGTCTAGAGCAATAGGTGCAGAGAGTCATGGGAAGTTATTCAGGGAGTTTCACAGATGTCAGGCAGAGGGCCAATCACACACGAGTAAGTTAGGCCTAAGTCAATGAGTTGGGGATGGATGCAGCCATTACTGTGGTAGGGGAACTGGGGAAGTCAGTTACAGCTGGCACAACCAAAAGCCAGGCATGAATGTCCATGGCAGTTGTCGTGGGGGATTGGATGGTTAATCTATCTCCTCCTGGCTCACAAGAAGAGCTGAAAAGGCATTTCTCTTCCTTAACTTTTGTCGTCCGCTCACGGAGCTAAGCTATTAAATTCCTGTCACCTAATTTGGATCACTCTTTCTGAGGATGGGGGGATCACTGGAAAGACCTGACCCTGTTGCCCATCCCTAATTGGCCTTGAAGTCAATGGCTTGCTCGTTCATTTCAGGGAGCAGTTACGAGTCAATCAAATTCCTGTGGAGTCACACATAGACCAGGCCAGGTAAGGGTGGCAGATACCCTTCTCTCAAGGACATTAGTGAGCCAGATGGACTTGTATTCAATCAATCATACTGTCATGGTCATGATCATTGAGACTTACCTTCAGTTGCAGACTTTGCAGAAATTGTGCTGTGGGTTGGCCTTGGTTTCCAGGGGCATTATAATGACACTGTCGCCTCTGGATTTCAATATGTGAGTACTCTCTCTATTTGCTGATCAGTCAGAACCAGATTGAATTGTGGCCCCATTAACATTT